GCCATCGAGTCGGATCTGACTCAGAGCAACTGCTCCTTGGGTTTCCGAGGTGGTATCACTACGGAAATACACTGCACCCAACCTTCCTTCCAAGGAGTGGCCAGTGGGTTTGAACCACCAGCCTTCTGGTTAGCAGTCAAATAGTATAGGTTAAATATAATTATTTCTAATTTTATACATAAAGCCCCCCACACAATATATGTATATACATATCTTTATTATATACTCAAATAACTTATAAACATTAAGAATGCCCTGACTTTTCTGAAAGCAAAATTTACAAATGCAATAAAATGGTTAACTATCAATAAACCAACAAGTTTAATTAGCAGAAACTGGTCAATTTCAGTCTTTAGGTATTGAACTGAGTCCTTACCTTACTGTACAAGTACCACAAAATCAAAATACAAATCTCATATCCTATTAAATATGTCAAAGAATATGCTATTTTGCTAGCTTTTCAAACCAATTGTTTTAACCAAACAAAGCATGTTTATATTTGCATACTACATTCCTGACTGACAAGAGAATATTTTTAATCCTAATAGGAACAGGCAGGTGATCAAGTTTTTGGAAAATATAAGGTTTATGTAAAACAGTCCATCAATCAAAGAGCAGTGGCTTAGTACAGATGATACAGTAATTGGGGAGATTTCTATATCTATCTCCTATCCTGGAAACATGAGTGCTATGTTAAAAGGACATAGATTTGGGGAAGGTAAGTTTCCTAAAGGTTTTCCCTACTGCAGAAATGTGTCAAATTTTTAAATAACATATTGTCTTAACAAAGAGGAAGTAAAAATAAAAACTATCAAAGATTCTGTGAAAGTATAGTGAAACAGGTCCATGAAATCTTTAACAAAGTTGTTGTTAGGTACCATGAAGTTGGTTCCAACTCATAGTGACCCTATGTACAACAGAACACCACATGGTCCTGCACCATCCTCACAATCACTGCTATGCTGGAGCCCATCATTGCAGCCACTGCGTCAATCCATCTTGTTGAGGGGCTTCCCCTTTTTTTACTAGCCTGTACTTTACCAGGCATGCTATCCTTCCCCAGGTCCTGGTCCTTCCTGAAAACAGGACCAAAGTACAAGAGACGAAGTCTGGCCATTCTTGAACAAAGTAGCTTTAGACGTTTGTGATGAATCATGAAAGAAATGAAAATTTGAAAATGATGATAGTAATAAAAGCACACAATAATAAGAACCCACGAACTGTTATTTTCTTAAAACATGCTCAAGGAGAAAAGAAAATGTACTAGAAGTAAGATCTTATTACAAAAGTTTTAAAGTATGAAACTATCCTAATGCAAATGAACTCAAATAATGAATTATTTTTGCACAATCCTCCATGTTTTTTTCTCCACCATAGACCTCCTAATTAAATGTTAATTAAATTTAAATTTAAATCATAACCAAATCTGAATGTCTAATAAAGTCATTTTATCACCCTGTTGTCCTTCAATCATCTCTTCTGCACTCTATCTGGTATTTTATAAAAATTATTTGTCTGGAATACTCATGCATCCAAAATGTGTATTTTAATTATATTCCCATTTAAGTGCCCTGAGATCAGGCTTCTATGGGAAGGGTGATATTTCAGGCTGGCAAACTGACTGAGGATCAGAGTGTGGAACTAACATGCTGGTCAAAGACTGGAAAAAAGAGTCTCCTGCTTGGAAGGAGGTAAGTGTGGAAAGAAAAGGTGGGCAGAAAGTCTTTTGCTGCCTAAAGGATTTGAAAGCCAGCTTGTAAACATGGGAAGTTTAGAGGTCTTTGAGTGGAAAAATAACAAGAGGAAAGGAATATTTCAGGAACATTATATTCTGAACTGTGTGTAAAATAAAGTACATGAAAAGACACTAGACACAAGAACGAGAGTACAGTGCCCAACAGAGAAAACAGTCTGATGCAAGAGACTGCAGAAAAAACAAAACCACCACCAAAAACACCAGCCTAACAGCCTGTACTAGTGATCAAATGAAAGTGGGGAAGAAGGAAGAAACAAAGATACATTTGAAGTTTCAAGATGAAGTAATTTGGGAAAACAGTGTATGCCCTGGGAAGAAAATTAAAGCAGGAGCTAGTCTGGAATGGAAGGTGGCAGGGGCAACTTGCCATGTCGACTTGAAATTTCAGGAGGTTTCTACTAGAGGTTTAGTGAGAAATTAGAACTAGAAACAGATTTGAGAGACTAAGTTATATGCTGGTGTTATTAGTACATTACTAGAAAAGTGATGAGAAAGAGCAGTGAGGAACCAGATCTTGCCACTGGGGAAAGGAAAGAAGACTGAAGGTTCTCTCAAGGTAACACACATATTGGAAGGAATAGTATCACTTGGGGGGGGGGGGTAAAGGAAAATGTAAATGTCAGAAGAGGCCTAAGTCTGTGAGAAAAGAGAACATACTCTCAGATGTGACTGAAAGAAAATGGCTTACAATGCAAAGAGGAAAGCAGCAGCCTCAAAATTTACAGTTTATTTAGGGGAAAATGAGTATTAAGGAAAATTAAGGAGGCAGATTTTAAAGTACTCAAAATCTGGGAACAAAAAAAGACAAGTTTATAGCAGTAAGGGTAGAGTCAGTGAAGACTTTCAAGAAAATGAAATGAATTTTCTTCAATTAAGGATATATTTCAAATTTTACTTACATACAAATAGAAAACATATTTACATGTATTGTTAAAGATTTCTTTTTGCCACTGATTCTTTAAATACAAACTTCAGTTATTCTTAGCATGTACAGATATATACCCTAATTCATGATTCAGCAGAGGCTTCTTTTATCCTGTAAAAGTTTCATATTTTAGGGAGCAAGATTCCCAAAGATATCTTTATCAATTTCCATTGTAAAATTAAACACATGCACATATATAACCTTTTTAGAAACATCACCTTATTCCAAAATAGATAGAAGTCCTTCAATTACTGAAACTTACAAAGCAATACACTGTTAGTTTAATAAGTCAGTATCACAATGAAAAGAAACAGACTGCTATGAAGTCTATTATGTAGCCTTAAAGAGGCTTTTATTTATTCCATTTGTTATAGTAATGACAGTTGATTTAAAGGGAAAATAGACCATTTGTATGTCATGAAAATACTCTTAACAATCACTCCCCTGGGCTTTACAGATTAGAATTAGGAGAGTGTTATGAGCTATATAATGTTGACTGTAATGTATTTCATCTTTAAAAAAGCCTCTAGAACCAAAAAAAAAGGATTGAAATACCCTCTTAAAGGAAGAGTAAACCAAACCCAAACCCACTGCCATTGAGTCAATTCCAACTCATAGTGACCCCCACTGGGTTTCCAAGGCAGTAAATATTTACAGAAGTAGATCACCTCATCTTCCTTCCATGGAACCACCGGTGGGTTTGAACCACCAACCTTCTGGTTAGCAGTTAAATGCCTTAGGCACTACGCTCCCAGAGCTCCTTAAAGGAAGAGTAGAACCTTGATAAAGACTAGAGTCCAAGGAAAAAAACAATTATTTCAAAGTTAGTAAATATGGTATTTAAGAAAACACTGAAAAAAGTGGGATCATTTACCCAGCATATAGCATTAGAGAAAGAAGAATACGAGGTATTTTTTACCTTTCCTGTGTGTGAATATCATTGTAATCATATCTGTACACAGAACACAGGCCACTAAATATTTCCAGACATTATCCTCTTGATTGTTAAATATTATAAAAGGCAGTGAAAAGAAATTATCATTCTTTTTTCTCCATGAAGAAAGCGAGGCTCAGAAAGGTTATGTAACTTGCTGAAGGTCACAAAGCAGAGCTGGGCTGAGTCCAGGTGGATCCCCAAGGGTAGGACTGAAGTTCTTTCTACCAAATGATGTTCACAACAAAAAGGAATCAAGGAAAAGGGCCTAATGGTGATTAAACCATCTAGATGAGACAGGGTCAACATCTGAGAGATAATAGCTGTTTAAGGAAACAAAACTGGCTCCCTATAAATGTGTAAGATGCTGAGTCATAAGAAGTTCTGACTGAAGAGCAAGGAGACAGAGCAGCTGACTTTTCCAATACTTCTGTTTTTATAATCTTAAAATAGTCCTGATTTTGTGATTTATTACGTTTTCTTAACGGCTTTTATTTCTCTTCCTCATAATATGTTTAAATGACAATCCTTAAAGGAAAGGATGACTACAGAATAAATCTGGCCATTGTTGGAAGCACAAACACTGTTGTTGCTGCTGTTGTTATGTGCCATCGAGTCG